TTGGCGCCGTTTTGGTGCACATCTTCGTATTCCCTGGCATTCTTCAATATACATGTATAAATATTATATATGTGACTAGAAAACTTGTGTTTTTTTGTTGTGCGATTTCAGTGGGACCGGTCTGCTAGGGGGCTTGAGAGGTTGGATGCCCATTTGACTCCCAGCCAACGGACCAACATGTCACTTTGAAGAACCAGGTGGACTTGACTTTGGCTGGTATATTGGATGATACTGGATGTACGGCTTCACCATGGGGATGACAAGTACCATGTCAGAGTCCTTGAAAATCTGATATGGATTGAGCATTCTGAGCTGGCAAGGTGATCAAATTGCATGAGCCAAGTGGTTGGGAAGTAGAAAATATGAAGGGAATCGAGTCTAGTTTAAAAAAATTGGGCTGATTGAGATGGCCATTTTTAGTTGATCTAGCTAAACCGTATCAAAACTCTGTGAGCTAGCCGAGTCATGGTATCGTTGCCAAATGAGGAACCTTGAACTAGCTGGTTGATATTGTTTGATGGAACAGTGAACTGTTGGTGATCCAGGTGAGTCCTGAATTGGCTAAGCTGGCTCATTGGTCACCTACCATATCATTTAAATGCCTCTCAACAATAATGAACCACTCATACCGCCTCGCCTAGTTCACGAAGTTCTTTCACCCACCAAGGGGCCACTTGCCTCCCCTTCCGCAGGACATGGAACCGCCTCCCTCAGACGCCAATTACGAGCTCCTTTGGCGCGTGCAGAGCGAGACCGAGCGTGAGGCCACGGTGCGCATTCCCGTGGGCCGAGCAACGGCCTGGCTGCTGGATGTGCCTCGGCAGGGTGGTTGGAACTATATATGTAGTGTCAACTGAAACCAATTGAAACCCCTTTTTTTGGCACAAAGAAGGTCTGCTTGATCAGATGTCCTTACTTATTACTATAGGGAGGTGGTTTTTGGGTGGTGTCGGTGGTTTTGACTTCCGTGATATGGTCGTCCGACGGTGGAGCTATGGGTTTGGCTGCGGTGAAGCCTCACAAGGGAGAAAAGTAATCTAGAATGTTGATTATATTTCAACCCCTCACAATAATGAGGCTTCACAATCCAGTTCTGCCGTGGGGTTGACCAATCAACATTTTACATCATAGAGATGCGGGTCAAAACCTGAAGATGGGGTTTGTCCGGCTGCTTTTGGTGAACAGGGGATGTGAAAGCAAAATGAAGCTCCCTAGTATCGGTCACCTGTTTAGGGTTGTTTGAGTTTGGAAGGGAACGGACTCGGTTGGTGAACAGACTAATATCCTATATACAAAGAAGTAATCAGCAACTATAGATGTGTGTATCTTTCTTGCTTTGGGTTGCAATGTTTCCTTGGAAAGGGTGGTTCCCATTATAGTCCTAAAATGGTCGCCTCCGATATACAAACTGCAGGATGAGGTGTTTTGCAGTTGAACACGTTGCTGATGGAAGGCCCTGGCTGGGTGGAACGCCGTGCTCTAGAATGTTTGAGAACATGCCATGCGGTTCAGTCATGCGGCTTTTGTCTTTGCAGTCCATATGGAACTTCAGCTTGGAGTGGAGTTCCTAGTCCTTTGAAAGGTATGTTGTCGCGCGACCATCGCATCTGAGGAAGGAACTGCAGCGAACATTCACCATGACCTGTCAATCGTGAGCGAAAAGTTCTCGCTGAATGCCAGGCCTTTGATCAGCGATAAAGGCCCTGCGACCGTCGTCGTTGTCGCAGGTCGGGTCGTTGGGGATGAACCTGGCCGGTTGGAGCTCTTGGTGTTCCTACATGTTCCCACTGAAGCCAAGTCACAAGCCCAAGTCCAAGGCAAGGGGGCAAGTCGAGGTGATCCACTTACAAAAGACATGCTCTTTTTCTCTCCTTGCACCTATTGCTGACTCCTTCGAGCCATTAGATCGGTCCAGATCGATGTCCATGCTATAGCCAGTCTGAAATTCGGCCTCCATCCACCTGCGTTCAACACATCCACCGGCGTTGTTGAATAACCCACCGCCACCGCCACCGCCACCGCCACCGCCACCGAGCGTGCGTGTTCCTGACTGACGAGCGAGAAGCGACCGGGAATCGAGGGATGGAGTCCATCATACTGACCGGGCTGCCCAGTGCCATTGCACAGGCGCGCCCCGACACTCGGAAGGTCGAGAGGGCCAAGGGGAAGAAAGGAAGGTCGTCGGGATGCATGTGGAGCAGGTGGTGGTGGCAGGCAACTGGGACAGCTGGCCTGGAATTGTTTGAGCTTGTTGGAAACACTGGTTTCTGACATGTTTATGTTCAAGCTCGAATGACATGGGAAGATTGAGCCCACTGACTGACAATAGATAAGCCTTCAAGTAAGTTGAAACCACCAACCAGAACATCGTGATCTAGAGATTAATAGGTCCAGCCACTTGAGGATTTTGAATGATCCGACCAACAGCTCCAGAACTATAGAAGGAGTTCTGTTTTTTTTGAACCTGACAAAGGTACCGTGAGAACTTGCTTACACCAGGAGTCACATGTTTGGGTGAAGGAAGTCACGGAGGAAGTCGGAGTGCTCCTGTCACATCCACTCACTTAGACTGGATGGGACGAGCCAACCCCTGGCAGTTTACAGTTTACTTATCCCAGACACTCCATGGGACTGCCATAGGACTGCCGATCAGTTGGGGTGCTTTAGGGGTTCAATGTAAGCATATATGGCATACATGGAGTGTTTGGGTATAGCCCGTCCTTTACTTTTTTTCGACCAGACTCTCAGTCGGGACTTTGGTCGAGGTTGGCGAGTTTGAGATACTGAGATACGGAGAAATACATCCAGTGAAAAAGGTCCAACGCCTCCAGAACAAGGTACTGTTTCACGTCGGCTTCATCTGCAGCTTAAAGAGTTTTGTTAACGATTGTTGTTGGTTTGACATTCAACCACAAGTGCGTCATACTGTAGGATGCTCCTTAGCTTGATTTGGTGTTGTGATTTTATAATCACGTAAATCACCGATGCTGCCTACAACTAGTGCCCCTGGTTAAACCGACGACCTCTATCTAAGGAAGTGGTGGACTTGCTGAACTACTACCGGGACAGAGATGGCCACTTCGATCGATGAGTTTTCTCCGAACAGCTCCAAGCCGAGAGTTTTTGAAGAGATGGGCTGGAGGTCTTTTGTTTTTTGAAGCTGAAGGAAGCATATGGTAAAATCTTACAGGTGGAACTAGGCATGTTGTGAGATATCTACAGTAAGTTGTTTGAGGCGCTTTGACTCTAACTTTCACAAATGGATACACATGGTCTAAAGTTATATATATACATATATATGTTTTTCCTGGTCTAGATTGTCGCACGTTGCTAGTACGTTTCAGCTTTTTGTCAGTAGTTCAGGATCACATTGCTATACGTTCCAAGACAAAGTGATGATTGTGTATTGTAGGGAAATTCTAGGCTGATTCATAACCAGGTGTTGATTCGTAATCATGCGAGGAGGGCATACCAGGTTCCAATATCTACGGAATTCCATAACAATGTTTGACTGTTATTTAGTTTGGCGCCGTTAACTTTAACTGTGCCCTAGCGGAGATCATCGGAGATCCATTGTTCGACCATGAATTGCATATCAGCATCAGGATCATTCTCGTTGATACCCAATTTAGTTTTGTTTGCAAAAAAGATGCCTTGCAAGTCAAACAAACTACGATTGATTTACAGTAATCACATGGCTTGCACCATCGCTCCGGCCAAAAGCACCAAAAAACAACCCATGAAGCAGCTGGACTGAGGCAAGCGTAAGCGCGAGGACGTCGATGCCTCGGCGATGACCGACGAAGTGTCCGCCGTCGCATCTGCCTTGGACGCGTCCACGGTGAAGAAGATGGAGCTACCGGCACATGTGAAGGACATCAGGCACAGCGGGGTGCTGCGGAGCTGCTCCCCCAAAACAGGGTTAGCGGATGCTGTGAACGGCTAACATGTTTCTTTTTCCCCAACAAGAATAGTTCATGGTGTACAGCCTACTGTGGTCATTGGTACTTGTAATTAGGACACATCCAGGTGCCCCGGAGTCAACGTGCAGAGAGAGAGAGAGAGAGAGTCCGAGGGCCAAGTTTGTCATTTGGATGCTGTGTTGCTCTCACCTGTTTTACCCTGGCAGGCAGTTCCAATATCATGATCACACTGCAGATCCTGGTCGTTGTCACTTCAGTTGTTTTTGTTGTCTCTTGCAAGTTCGCAACGTTTGGTTGTTCCTTTGATGGTTTGGTGGTGTAATTACTACACTCTTAAACCAAAGGGTGCCCCACAGAAGGGGGTGTGGACAAGAATCAAGGCTTTACAGGCTTGTTTCATGTGTTGGGTTGACTGGTCTGTCCGAATCAAAGTAATGTTGTTTGGCGGCAGTTTGGCGTGTACACAATCTTGGATGGGGTTATAGGTTGTAGAAATAGGTGCTTGCTTTTCTTTTCGACCAGCACCAATCCAAGGATATTATCGTCCATTCATGGGGAACGTCGTTGGCTGAGGCATTTGCTCAAGTTTCTGATCTTGGTTTCTTTTTTGTGTGGTGGCGACCCTCTACACTTCTACCGGACTACTACCTTCTAACTTGCAGCAAAGGAAGATGACACTGTGAACACTTCGGGTGTTCATTGGTCTTTGGGGTGAAACGGTTTAGCATCGTTTTTGCAGATGTTTGCAGATGGGTAGACTATGAGTGGTTAGGCTTTTATGTGGATTTCACAAGGGTTGATATTTGTTTGAGTACATGTCTGACAATGATGTGTTTTTTCGGGCAGGTTCCAAAAGCTAATACTTAAACATATAGTGCCTAATATAGTGCATATATATATGCATATTGTTAGTGCATATGTTGTAACTTTCCGCCTAAAAAGTTGTACCCCAAGATTGGAAGAGACACATCTGAAGATATGTCGCACGATTCAGTGGAGTAGTGTCACTGAAGTAAGACCAGTCGGGTGTCATGTTTGGGGGTTCGATGCGTGTCTCCTCCCGAGGTTTGCGTTGGGATGTTCAACTACATGTCACCCTTGGAGAAAGTGGAGCTGGTTCGGTCAGTGGAAGTGCAAGCCACTGGACATGACCTACTGGATTTGCTGTATCATTTGCTGGATGAATTCCTCTACATGTTTGCTACAGAGGCTCGGCTGAAACAACTCAATCCTGGCTGAATCAGCTCCAATTCTGAAAACAAGTCCCCTCCAACCCCAACGGCTGAACCCCTCAAACAGACGAATTGGGCCTTTGAACTCCGACGACGGCTGGTCAAATGAAGCAGTGGATACCATAACGGTTACTTGGATGAATACGGCCCAATCTGATCTTCTCGTTGTGGATTTGTGCGTGAGCCCAGCTTGTCCCTTGGCTCCAAGTAGGCCTTGGAACCAGTTCCTTCTCTCATGGTCTTTGTGCGCACCGACCTAAGGAGATGCTCATTTGCCGATGCATCGAGATCCTGTCCTTTGACCAGGAGAAGTTCTCCATCCGTGCTCGCGGCTACGGAGAGACGCCTGGATAAATATGTTTCTGGCAACCGTTTCTTCGAGTACTTATCCAAGACACGACCCATGTGTATACCATATATGCCGATCAGACCAGGGGTGGTTGAAGTCGGGGTCAATTGATCGGCAGTCCTATGCCAGTCCCATGGAGTGTTTGGGTATGGGTTCCTTTATGTTCCTATGCACTCCTTGGAAGAATCATGGAAGTGGAGCAAAACCCATTTGTTGGGTCTTTGGATTGAACATGCTCATCCGTTCTTTCTGGGCGAGATCTTTCCATGCGCCTTCCACGTGGAGACCCGTGTATGTTTTCTGGAGACCCGCCATGGACATTGTCTTGGGGTCAAGCGACTTTGTGAGCTAGCGTATATTCAGGCTGGTCTTTTCCTTGGTGCTTGTCGTACCTTCTTTTAGCTTGCAACCCTTTTGGTGAACCCTTCAATTTCTATGCTTGGCCCCAAATGAGGCACTAATTTTGCCGGCAATAGCGAAAACGTACTTTGTGGCTTTGGTCCTTTTGATGCCCAACAAAGTGGCCAAAGCCGCCAAACATAACAATTAAAGTATCCTTTGGGGCCAACTTGCGAAGCCTATATAATCCACTGAAAGTAGACAGTGTGTCTTGAACATAGCAAAACTATACGTAAAACTGACGAAGGCCCGACAAAGAAACGCCATCTTCCAGAGCCTGTTGACGAACCCTATATAAGCCATTTCCTCTCACTCCACGGATCGAAATAGATCGACCAGTGGGTGAAAGAGTGAAAGACACATGGGCTGTCACATGGCCATCTCGGAACGAATGACGATGTGCAAAGCTTTTAGAACACATTCTATGTTAGAAGAAGTCGTGAACATTGACACGACCTTGATCGACTCGACTCTGTTTTTTTCAACGACGTGGTTTTCTCCCATTCTGAGGAAGATGGACTTGAAGAAGCACGAGCAAGGCACCGAGATCAAGGCCGCGCCGTCCCACGCCGTCCCCCGAGATCGGCCGTTCAGCGGCGGCAATGGTGCTGGACCGAAAGATGCTCCTGGAAGGAAGGTGTGTTTGAAGGCATGTTGATGCATGTTGAGAGCAACTCACTCAAGTGGTTTGTCAATGTCTTGTTTGACCACAGCACGTTGAATAATAGGTTGCATTTTTGACTGTATACAATATTGTACTATACATGCCTTGTGCGTATGTGTGTTTCTTGTGGCAATCTAGTGGCACACTTGCCCCCCGCCATGCGTTTGTTGATCCTTTCAATTTCAGCCAGCAACTCGGAGGCCATCACGATGCATATGATGAAGATTCTGGATCCAACCAGCATGCTGACGGAAGATGGGAAGTCGGAGCGGCAAGAAGCTGCAGAAGCAGAGTTCCCGTACGAAGTCTACGTCTTGCTGGACATTTGATATCCAGAAAAATGGTGCGCGTCGTGCAGTTTTTGTTGGGGGTATGCACCGGCCGCATCGAACTGTGGCGAACGCTCAGAAATGCAGTGACGGTTGCTTTTGTTGGGGGTATGCCGAGAGGTGATTTGGATTTCTGTTGTTTCCTCTTAGTTCTTTAGAAATCGACCCGTCTTCGCTCTTTTCTTCAAGGGGCACGCAAGAGGCGCAGGTCATCCATGGTCGGTCACCTGAGACCTGTAGGTCTGGAGTGGGATCTTCAGCGACACCGGCGTGGGGGGGGTTGAAATGTTGGAGATTGGGTTTGGTGCTGTAGCACTGTAACACCTCAGATTTTGGAATGATTCTCTTCTACTCTTCCGGTTTTGTGAATTATATCCCCAGCACTTTATATCGAAGTCCACGAAACGGAAGACAGATTGGAGATGATTGGCCCTACAGGTCCAGTCTGACCCAGTAAAACCTGGTCCTTTTACCGCATTTTTCGCAGGTTTTTAATATATATGTTTTCAAATCACCAACACCAGTAAAATGAGGTCTTGGGACCTGTAGGCTTGGGGCGGGGTGTCAACATTTGAGATGTTGTCGCCTCCCTCGCAGGCGAAGCTTTGCGACCGTTTGCCATGAAGACCCAGACTACTGTGCCGCCTGGTGGCAGCGCCAGTGATGCGATCAGTGGCAACTGGTGCACAAATCTGGTTTGGCTTGTTTCAGAATCCCTGCTCTTGGTGAAGGAATGGTGCTGAGAACCAGCTGGCAGTTGATTGTAAAGTTCTTAGGGGATTTGGATTTGCCAGTATTTTTTGGTCAGGATATCAACTTCAAGGACAGTAAAGGGTCAAAAATGTGTTCATCTCAGAACTGGACCCAGAATCTCCACCTCAATTGCTTGAATGCAAACCACGTTTCCGAACCAAATGTGACCTCCCCTAATCACGAAAGTCCTCCAGATTTCAAAGGGAAAACACCTCACCCCCCGATCTCACCCCACCCGATACCCAGGCCTGGGCTATGGCGCAGCCTCAGCCATCACCGGCCACTTGGAGTGATTCTGAGATGCGGCGCGAAGCATTCTTCAATCCAACTTGGGTAAGTGTCGCTTTGGAGAGGTGACCCAGCTTATATGCAATCAGATCTGAGCGTAATTGCCTTGCCATGTAATCGTATAGCGAAAAAGGGAAAGCCAAGTTCGTCCAGTTTTAACATGTTTTAACATCATCGGAGCGGGATTTTGAGGTCTCGGGTAGGATTTCTACGGGTGACAGAAGGTGTGCATGACAGAGTATATACCAAGCTTTCTGGAAATGCTTATGGGTTACTGGGTTGCATTCATCCCCAAATCCGGGACCCATTCTGAAGATTTGCTGGTTCCATGGCTCACTCATCATTTTGCACTGGTTTGCACGGCTCAAGGGAGGTGACTTCCCACCATCCGATCTGATGCTTTAAGCTTGCTATGGAGAAGCAAACTCAGCGTAGCACTTGTCTTTTGACCCCTAAGTTTGTTGCCCATGTGTTGTATGTTGTGGGAGGAAACCTTACCGCGTCTTTTTCTTTGCAAAAGATCTGTTGGGTTCCGCATCGCGTGGTGAGCTTGTTGAAACTGGTCGATCAAATCATGTTTGGGGATGCCGAGAGTTTTCGTCCGGCGAGGAAGACTCTGGCGCCACTTCGCCAGACCGACCGGTTCACAAGCAAGTATTCCGGGCCTCACAGAATGTTTACAGATCCATGGCCGAAACGATGAACATCTACCAGCACCAGCACCGGGTCGAACATCAAGAAAAGCTCCAGTACTACGATTATGCAGCTACGAGAAAGGAATTGTAGTCAGAATCAGATAGTCGTTCTGAAGCAAGTGCAAGGTCAAGGTCCCTCCATTTGAAGAACCCCCCCAAATTGGGAAGACCTTGAGTGTCTTCTCATGGAAGTAGCCAGGCGCGTTTCGTGGGCGATTCGGCACCGGAATGCACCGGAGGCCATGGCCGAGTTCGTGCGCTACTTGGACTCCTTGGGCCTCTCAGACGTCTTCGCAGCCAAGCGGAGGTGAGCCGGATGAGCCGAGAGAGAGAGAGAGAGAAGCAGAGAGAAAGAGAGATCCACGGGCAAGTGAGACAATGGTTTCGCCGGTCCGATGAAAGCAATGTTTAGCATGGTTTGGATGTCACGTATTTTATTTTCACGGTGAGCCTTGGGTTTTGATTAAGATCTTGAGTCTAGGGTGAGCGGGTGAATCGTTTGTTATGGTTAAGATGGTGGGACCTGGGGTGCCTATTGGCATCCCTGGGTTCGGATGGACCAATTAGATTTGGAGAAAGAGATGGGCCATCCCTTCCAACTTGGAATTACAAAGAACAACTTTGCAAGGTAAGGATGTTTTCCGTGTATTTGCTGAGTTCTATATAGCCGAGGGTTGTGGAAGCAAATCCAGTTTAGTGGTCTCTAGTATACAGATATGTAATGCCTCACAATGACATACTAGGTGTTCTTTAGTTTGACATATCTTCTTGATCAATGCAACCATCATTTCATTGATGATTAACGGCTTCCTTTTCTAGTGATGGCACGTGCAGACGGCACAAGAAGCTAACCACTTGGAGATATGCTGGGACTCCCAAGTCCTTGCGCTCGTCGGCATGGCAGAACTTGTACAACTCATGTGTATACACCCAAAGCCCCTTGGGCACGTGGATTTGCCTTTGGGCATCATGGTGGCGTTCAGATTTCTCGCGCAAGTGTTGTTGGGTTGTGTTCACATAGAATAGGTTGGTTTGTCCCAACGGTCATCTATCTTGATCTCAATCTTTGTTAACCAATACCATTACACCGTGGCAGACTGACATAGAACCTAAAAATAGACCATGGGAAGAGCATTGTCCTCTACAAGACCAGTGTTTTCAGCTTCTATGTTATGCTGCAAGGGTGTCCCCATATCATTACTTGGTGAACAAGTCCAACCTTCAAGTGCACACATCACACATCTAAATCTAAGCTCTGCAGAAGTCCAGCTTCACACATGGCATCTCCACGGTGCCGTGGTTGCCTAACCAGTCAGTGGATAGCCTTTAACCTATTTTGGGGATTGGTCTTTATTTTTTTGCTAAATATAGCAAGACTTGTGGAAAAAGGTAAATCCGCTTAACCTGTTTTTTCAAGGTGCGAAACGGCTCAGGAGTCAGTTTGAAACGTCGAAGAAGTGACATGATCCTTTGGCCAAGAAGTCACCATCACCGAAAAAACCATCCTCAACCCATCTTGTATCATCAGATTTTCAAGAATCATGCACCTGGTCTTCTCCATGCCATAGTCCGGTACCAGGATCCCATTTTCCTCCGCCCAACGCGCAAGACCCTTCCACCACGCGCCGCTCTTTCCATGCCAGGCGCCGCTCTGTCGCCACACCTGCCCGGAACACCGTGCAGCACGCTCCGTTGGAACGTTGGGGATGGCCCAGTCTGGTGGGTTTGGATCCGTTTGGACTGCTCGGTGTGGCTGTGAGATTCAGACGTTTGCTCGGTGTAGCTTCCATTGGTCCAGATTTGCTGGTCCAAGTCATACATGTAGGTCCAACCTGGTTTGTAACGCCCTTCTGATCAAAAGAACAGATGTGAAAAGACACCCTGAAGGACTGAAAGACCATTGGTCCAACCCATCCCTTGCAGGATCGTCTCCTTGCTTCATCCATTCGACCCATTGTTTCGACCCTTCGGTCTGTGTCGTCGTCGTTGGAAGGGTGGGCCCTTCTACATCTCACCCTGAAAGCCTCATGTAGCCGATATCCGACAGCCCAAGATGGCAGGGCTGAGCGATGTTTGACACCTTGAATGTATATCAAGTCTCCTCCCAAGCAGATGTCAAGTCTCCTGGCGGGGGGGGTCGCTGTCCACATGCACATCAGTTGCGTGGAAGGCTTGCTGGGGTGTTGTGACAGCGCATGAAACATCCATTGGTTCAGGTAAAACATCTAAGTCGCACGGATGGTTCCCAGAATGGTTGGACAAGCCAGCATCAAGATCTTGTTAGAACCTATCCCCACCGGATCCAGACAAACCACTTATGATTTCATGCTATAGTTGGTAACCAGATGTAACCAGTGATTCAATCAGACGAAAACCAGAGACCGAACGAGGGCCCCTGGCTCCTTCTAGTGGCTGCCTGGGATCCACTGGGTATTTTCGTGCTCATTCTTCCTGCACCCACTCTGGAGGTGACCTGTGCACGTTCCTTCCAAAGCAATCTGTGCAGAGCGTTGTGTGCAGTGGTTTTAAACAGCATGAATTCAAGGAATTCGTTGGTTTGTGCATGTTAGTGTGCTTGAGCCAGCAAATCAGAGGGGTCATGAAATTAGACTAAACACATGTCTTTGGAAGCTTATGCACTGATTGTACCTGGTTTAGGGATTTTCCCTGCCCACAGCAGTTTATCCCATCACTTCTTCAACCCATGTCTCTAGCCGCACAAAAAAACCCGATGTTGAAACAGAACCTGTATCTTGCAAGGCCCCAATCGCACGTCTTGGATGACTTGGATGACGCTGGAGGGCGCCAATGGTGAAAGCCTGAGATACCTTCGACATCTCGAAAAGGTGCGGTTGCAACGGATGTACTGCAGTGTTCAAGCGCTGCTACAGCTCCAACTTTTCAGAAGTTTTGAGAATATGGCAAGAACTAGAAACCGAGAGTATCCTACCAACCGCATAATTAAAGGTTTATTGCCTATCACTGTCCGCAAAAACCCAATCCCGAGGCCTTCAACAGCAGGCGCCACCGCCACGCGACTCGCCACCGCAGTGGGCGCCTGGCATTCATCCAGCTTACCTGGCGGCCGCGCAGGCGGCGCCAGCAGCACCGGCTGCAGCGGCACCGGCGGTGGCGCCATCCGGCCAGTTTGGAGGATGGAAGCAAGGAGTCCAGATGGAGCATGAGACCAGGCGTCGTGTTTTTTGGGGAATGGGTTGGCGGGAGCTGGAGATGGAGTGGTTGTGTGACCTTCAGTACAAGTGT